AGTATACAACCCAAAAGTTGTTTCACCATAACAACTGCAAGCTGTTAAATGATACAGACATTGAGTGCCCTGTTAAACTATGCAGACTGCTAACTATATTTAGATTTTTCACCCTCCTTTTTATACCGATCTTATATTGTTTAAAGATAATTTTCTTTTATTTAATAATTTTTTTATAAATCTTTTCCCACTACTTTTGGTCTGTATTTTCCTTTATGTAAGCTTTATTAGAGAGTTTAATGTCGTGGTGATGATTCCTATCTATATCATGTATTAATATCCGTTAAAGTATCCTGCCTTGTTGCCGATTATCCAATTGCAAGTATGTTATCTTGAAAGAGATTTGCGTTTCAACGTGACATGCATGTGGCCTATGTGCATGAATATGACGTAACGTACACAACGAGAGACCCGGATAGCATTTCATTGTGAAATGAAATTCCCCATACATGAGGAACACAGATGAACAGAATTCTTCAATCAACACTATCATATATATTGGGAGATCACACAAGAGCAGTCAGAAATCCTTCAAGAAGTCCTGAGTACGAAATGCGTTGGATTGAGATTGGGATTTTTTTTACTTGTCTCTTTTATTTTATTTTGGCTTTTCTTTTGGGATACTCTCCTTTATCCTTGGGATCACATACAGCTCACGATTCCTGTTTTGATCCACTGGAAGTGGAGATATGCCCATATTACTGGTTATCCCATAAGGGCAATTTTAATAATTATTTTGTACATTCTATCGGCACTATATTTCTCTTATGTTTATTTCATGCCTATGAAGACCTACGCTCAAGACTGAAGAACCTGTATCTACACGTTCCCCTTTAAGGGGTGATTAGCTGAAACATTGCCTGGCTCTAGTGAGTTTTCTCCCTCTAAACTTGCGTGTTCTTTACCTAAATATTACGTATTACACTATGTACAGTTTATCTTTTTAGGCACTACAGATTGCCTCTATTACTGAAGGTTGTATTCCATTTTATATTTTCTCGCTAGATGTCACTTTGTCGAAATCCTACACTTTGTATGTTTTAGACTGCTTACTATAGTACGAGTGAAATGATCATTTCCAAATTGTTACTGATTTATTTTCGTTTACTAGGTTTTTGTAGGCATTATTGGCTCACTTTAAATATAATGATATTCTGAATTAAATTCTAATTTATAGGGTTTTTTTAAATCAATTAAACAATTTTAAATCCAATTCAAAATTCCATTAGATAACTTTTAATTTTATTTAAGTGTGTATTCAACAGTTAGCACGGAAATATATTTTTATACTCTCTCTTTTTTTTTTTTTATAATCAAATTTCAGCTCTCCACCTTGAGTAGCATTGTTTCTGTGTCTCTTTACAACTGAACGCTTGCCTTTTTTAGGTTGAGTATTTTGAAGTCAGTTGTTTTGTTTTATCTTTTTTATTACCAAGTATATATGATTCTGTTTTCATGCAGATAGGCTAAAAATATTTTAGTACACTGTTGCAACTGCCTTAACACTAAAAAAAGGTGAGAATTCCTCTAGACGGCTTGATCTAAATTATTAAAATATTGCTTTTATTAAGCTTGTTCCAAAATAAATCTGCTAAAAAGTTTTTGACTTTCTTACACAACCAGCAACACGTTGTTTACATTGTCAAGTTCCAACTGATTAATAACATTTTATAAAAACATACAAATTTT